GGCGGGCGGGGGCGGGCGGGGGGTCGCGGCAGCTTGATTTCGTGGGAGGAAACGTAAGAAGTGTGTGGCGTCTCTGTAACCCGGCCACCACCCTCGTCTCACTTCCTCGCCCCTCACGTGCTCCAGGGGCCGTGCTCCGTGCTGTCCCGCACGTCACTCAGTCGGCATCACCTTCAGCAGCACTGGTATCGCCCCTCGGTGCAGGGCCCAGGTGTGAGGCCGCGCCATCCCAACTGTGACTTCATGAAGATGTCCAGGGGGGCCCTCTTTAGATCAACAGCAATAACGCAGAAACGGTTGTAATTTATTGGTTTTCTCCTGTGCGCCAGACGCTGTGGGTCAGACGTCCAGGCCAGAACCTTGGCGTTAGGGAACAACTGGGAGATCGAACCAGTTCTGTTGGTCGAAACACTTCCTTAGCTGCTACGTGTGAACGTAGCTGTGCACGAGGCGAGAAGACGTGCTGGCACCACGTGTGTCCTCCCCTCCCTCTGGGCGTCTTTGGCCGGATGACTGATCTGAGTTTCTCTTGCAGGGAGCAGAAGGCAAAGAGGGCAGAGATGGAAAACCAGGTCCCCCCGGAGACCCGGTAAGTGGCTCCAGACCCCTCCCATTCATAGGCCAGGTTAGCGCTTTCTCAGCAACACCTGCCGTGTGCCCAGGAGCCGCTCCGAGCCGGGCACACTGAGCTCTTTTCTGTGCGTTGCTTCACTTCCTGCCGACCCCACCAGGTAAACACTGCTCCCCATTTTGTAGCAAAGGAAACTGAGTCTCAGGGAGGTGAAACGATGGACCCAGAGTCACGTGATGGGCCGGTGACAGAGTCAGAACCTGAGCCCTGGCTCCTGTCCTTCCTCTGCATTTTTCAAGTGCCCCCATGAAGACTCAACTCTGTCGATATGAGAGGGGACATGGGGGCGGGTGAGCGCTGGCCGGGGTAGAAATCCGATGCCTGAAAAGCCCGTTAGACCCGCGGACAACCTGAGCCACACCTGCTGGCTCTAGGGGCTGCGAGTTTGCCCTGGCTTCAACCTTGCCATAGAGTCGTGTGTGGTTTTTCTTTTCCTTTAATGTCATCTGTCTGGGGACAGACACACAGCACGGCAGACTGAGTGCTCACGAGGAAGTCCCTGTGGCCCCAGGAGCTGTTGGTAGTGCAGGGATTTCTACAGGCTCGTATCCGTGACCTCAAAGTTGTCTTTCCTGACAATCGAGGGTGGTCGATTCGTCTCGACTGCGTCGGGCTCCTGGATGGCGGTGGTGTTCAGTTCCTAGCAGCCCTGCCGTTTCCACGGCACCTCGACATCAAGCGGCGGGAGGAAGGTGGCAGGTGGAGCTTAGAAACCCGGGTTGTCCAGAAGCCCACCTGTAGGGGACCAGTAACGACGGGGCCACCCAGCAGACCCCAGGCAGCTGTGAGGTAGCATGAGGACATCCTTTACATATCGGCGAGGGACTTCTCCGAGCTGTATCGTTACGTGATAGACCTTGGGCGTGTAGCATGCCCGATTTTGTATAAAAATGGGTCTGTGTGTATATTTTTCTACTATTTACATAAAAGAACTCTGAGAGACTCTAAAAACACAAATAAAAGTAGTTCCCCCCACCCCCAGGAGGGTGGTTTTGAGCAGAAGGAGACAAATTGGTACTCAGTAGTATATTATTGTTACTTTCTAAAATTTTTTGGAGCCTTGGGCATGTGTTACTTATGGATAAAATCAAATTAAACTTAAACGAACAAATTTTATACGAACCTTAAAACCACAACCAGACTAAGAGACTGGCTTTGGATGCTGGCTCCAGTCCACACAGGCTCTGTGACCTGGGGCGGCTCAAAACGCGTCTCTGAGTTTCAGTTTCTTTTTAAATAGAATGAGGATAAGAGTAGCAACCTGCCCGAGTTGCCAGAGAATCAGATGAGATGAGAAATATGCTAAATGCATTAGGCTTGTCTGTTAATTATTGTAGTCAGTTCCTTTTTACACTGGTTTTAACTCTTGGTGAGGCCAGGACAGCAGACCCTATGGAACCACTCAGTGAAAGCACGTAAAGTTTCTTTGGCGAGGTTTACGTCCCATTGAATTTGTTTGCTTGTCAACTGTTGAGACTCATTCCACATCTCACGCAGCTTGCCCGAAGCTGCTCCTTTATCATTGTCCCCTGCTCGCCAGATGCTGGAACCAGAACTTGCTGCCGAGAGGGAAAGAAAGAGCTCACAGCAGCAGGCAGAGCACAGGGTTCCCGCTAAGCTGCTGAAGGCTAACGCCCGGCAGAGCTGCCGTGGTGGGCAGGGGGCAGCCACAGCCAGGGTGAGGCGCAGGGAGGGAGAGAGGAGGACATGCTGCCCCCGTGGCTCACAGCTTGTGCCGACCTCGGGCCAGGGTGCCGAGGGCTCCCTGACGTTTCCACCATAGCTCCCCAGAGAACCCCTGGAGGAGCAGGTGTCACTGCCCCAGACGAGGAAACCAGGGCGCAGAGAGGTTAAGTCGCCAGCCAAGGTCCCATAGCTGGGAGACGAGCCCTGCAGGACCCCCACCCCAGAGGCGGAGCCCAGAGCTCAGCGCCCCAGAACAGGACGTCAGCTTTTCTGCAGGCGTCCAGGGAAGCCGATGCCGTTGGTCTCCGTCCGGCCTGTTGATGGAAGGCTTTGCCCCGTCAGGCCGGGCCGCACGCTGGGCACAGACCGGTGTGAGACCAGGCTTCTCCTGGGTCGGTCAGTGCTCAAGGGGCAGGGCTGGTCCTCCGGGGAGAGGGGACACTCGGTGACCCCCGGCGGGGGCGTTCCGGGGCTCACCAGTCAGTGCCCCCATCCCGGCGGTTATCACTCTGAGCTGCTGCGGAGGAAATTGGCACAGAACAGGGGGCGTCGGAGATCTTCTAAGCAGACTGGAGACAAGGCTTCGGAGGGGCTGGCGTCGTTGGGGCGTGGTCCCAGGAGACACGGAGGGCGTGAGGAAATGGAACAAGGAAAGAAGGGAAGCCGCCAGGGACAGCGAGCGCAGCCACTCCAGTGGGCAGCCCGCGCCCAGGCTCGCTGGAGGCCCTCTGAGAATTCGCGGGGGCACAGCTGCAGCCCTGCTCCCACCAGGCCGGGCTGTTCATCCTTCAGCCCATTTTGGTTGCAGGTTGTCCCCGAGCTGTGAACTCCGTGCCCTTGGGCCTCTGCACTCAGTCAGGCAGCCCCGAGGCCATTCCAGAGCAGCCTTCAGCCTTCAGCCCGGCAGGGACCGTTTGTTAAGTGGGGAGGGGGGGTGGGGGGGCACCCTCCTGAGTGAGCGGGGGTAGGGGCAGAGAAACTGCAGCATCTGCCACCTGAGGTGGGTGGTCACTCTGCACCTTGAGTTATTCCTTCAAGTTCCTATACTTTAGGGACATGGATGGTTGGATGGATAGAAAGTAGATAGATGGGTGGATGGGTGATGGATGGAGAAATGGATAGATCCACAGGTGGATAGATAGGCAGCTTTTGAGTTGCCTATTGCATAATTTTTGTTAAGAGATGTCTGAGCATTAATTCTAGTGTAGGATTAAGTACAGAGACTCTGGAGCCAGAATGCCCAGATTAGAACCCCAACTGTGTGACCTTGTGCGGATCACCCAGCCTCTCTGTGCTGGCCATGTGGAAGGCCCTCCACACCTGCTGGCTGTTAGTTCTCAGCGGGTAACTTGGGCTGGCGATGGGGTGGCCACCCCACCTAACTGCGGGGCAGGAGCCAGGCTGGGACCGACCTCCTCAGTCACAAAGACCCACGGGCGGCAATTGTCCTGAATTTACAATGGAGAAGGGAAGGGACACCCCGGATCACACCAGCTGGACTCGGATGAGCTGGGACAGAAGAAACCACCCCACCCACCTCGGTGTCAGAGCTTCGTGCCCCACCTCCTCCTCTGTAATTTTACTGCATATCCTAGGGTGCTCCCCCTCCACCCCGCGAATGGACCCCATCTGATCCTCCAAATGTGCAAGCTGTGCAAATGAGGGCTCCATTCGGGGGAACGGTGTGCCAATCAATCAGACGTGCCCTTCCACCCACTTTTCCTGCCCCTCCGCCCGCCCCCACTTCTGACCACCCTATCTGGACTTTAGCGCCCACCTCTCACTGACTTGCTTAGTCCAGGACCCCACCGAGCTGCCGGGAGTGAAGAAGTACAAATAGCAAAGGTGCCCCCGTGACTTCGTCGTTGAGAGAGGGCAGAGTGAAAAGGGAGAGCAGACGGCAGCCCCGCCGGCAGGCGCAGCCGAGGGGTGAGGCGCGCCTTTGGGTGTTGCCTGCAGCTGGGAGTCAGGCCGCTTGACCTTTATCAGCTTGGTAAGGCTGTAACTTCTGAGCCCCAGCGCCCCCCTTTGTAGGATGCAGTGGGTATTGGCTGCCTTTAAGAGGGTTTGTGGGTAGCTAAAAAGTCATTTAGAATGAGGATGTCAACAGAATTTCTCAGCCAGACCAGACCGTTTCTGAGAATGATCAGGGTGCCATGAGTGACCGCTGTCAAGGTGAACCCTGTGTAACCGGCGTGGTCCCAGGACGACCAGGACTCAGCGGGCCTGGCTCTAGTCTGGTGATCTGGACTGCAGAGCCAGGGGAAGGGTGGGCAGGGGGCCGGTGACCGGCTGTGGACCTGTGATACGGGGCAGGCCAGGCACCAAGAATAGGAAGGCCCTTAACATGTGTCTCAAACTCTTCTTTTCTTCTCTACTCCCAGGGCAAAGCAGGAGGGCCTGGTCTGCCAGGACCAGAGGGCGCCCGAGGCCCCCCCGTAAGTGCCGTGTGCGTGTGCGCGTGGGTGCTGTGCGCACGCGCGTGTGTGCGCATGTGTGTGGTCTGTAGTGGAATAAAGCCATCAGCCACATGGCTCTGCATAGTGAGTAGGGTTTGCAGAGACTGCCAGACTATGAGTTTCCAGAAGTTTCTCTCCTCCAAAACATTGGGGCCCCTTCTGATAAATTCACTTCTTTCACATGCCATGGCCTTAAACTTGACTTTCAGAACTGCAGCCATTGTTACCATGTTGTTCTGTTTTTGTTTTGTTTTTAGCCTATTTAGGGTAATTTTAGTGGGCTTTCTCTGGATGATAGAACCTAAGAATGAGTCTTAATTTTAGTTTTGAACATTTTCCATAGCTAAAGGTTTTTTTCCCCCTCTTATAAAGTAACCCATTCTCATTGCAAAACAATAACCATGGCGATGATAATAATAGAAAAAGAATAAAAAATAATACCGTGGAGAAGAAAATAAGAGTTACTTATAATTCTGCAAAACAGTGGTTAAGCTTTAACACTCTGCTATATTTTTCCTAGTCTTTTTTTCTATGCGTGAATTGCGACATTTGTATATCTAAAAGGCATTCGTATATCTAACTATAGCTGTCACGCTATTATAGACATAGCTCCTTTTTCTATAAAAATGAATGCCATCTCTGTATTTTGGGGTTGTTGATGTTTTTTGTTTGTTTGTTTGTTTGTTTTTGCTAAATGCTTTACTCTTTTATAATTTTTAAATTGTTTATACACATTTCCTTAAATTTGTTCTGGAAAGATTATGATTTTTAATGAAAATTCTAAAATCCAATTATCTGGCAAGGAGGGGAAAATCAAAATGCTAGTTCTCTTTCCTTGATGTGTCTTCCAGTAGAGAAATCAATGACTCACCCGGCTAGCACTCAACACAGAGGAAATAAAACACAAAATCAATTTCCTTCTTTGCCACATCTCCTTGCCTTTCACCCGATTATGCTGGGAAAAGAATCGTGAGCATGGAGAGTGCCACCTTCTGAGGGAGGCTGAAAACAACTGGCGATTTTCGATTTTCGTTAAGGCGGCTCCGGCCGGTCGGGTGGGAGGCGCTTCCTTTCAGCCGGGAGACCTGTTTGCTGGGACTGATGCTGGGTAGGACCCGCCTGGCCCAGAGTCGTGAGGAATCCTGCCGCGCGTAGGGGCCGCGGTCAGAGACCCAGCAGGCGGACAACCTGCCTCCTCGGGCTTGCCTGGCCCGCGTCAGAGCAACGCCTGGAAGGTGGCGTGGGCCTCGAGGTGGACAAACCCGGGCGCAGCTTTTACGTTTTCACTTATTCACTTTGCGACCTTGGCGTGGGACCTCTCTGGACCTCTGTTTCTTCTTCTGTGAAGCGGGGATCAGCAGAGCTCCCACTGCTGAGGATGCTTGTGAGCCCTGAAGGAGAAGATGAAATATGTAAAATTGCCAGCCGGGTGCCTTCTGTGGCCACCTCGGGTGGTGCTTTTTGTTCACGATTATGGGGTAGGAGAGCACGGCAGGGCGCCTGACTCTCGCCTCCTGGATTCGGGGTTCCAGTGTCTCTGAGGAAGGTGCTGGGACCCAGGCAGGCCCCTCGCTCTCCGGGGACAGGGATCTATGGCCCGTTTTGAGCACTGTCTCCTGTTCAGTCTTTACGGGAACTCTGCCGAAGCAGATTTTGTCTGCATTTGACACATGTGAAGCTGAGTCACGGTGAACAGATGTCAGGCACCCGAGAGCCTGAGCTAGGAAGTTGGGGGCCACGGTCAGCTCCCCACTCCCTGACTCCAAGGTCAGCCCTGCTCCTTCGGACGTGGTGGCATATCAAGCCCCTTCCCACAGATGGATCTGGCAAAGCTAAGCCAGGCGGGCGTTTTTCCTGTCCCCATTGTGTGGCCGGTGACGTGAGGACGCCCAGGGCTAAGCTGGCTTTTCCTAGGTCACGGGCATTGACTCTGCAGTCAAACCTGAGATGGCTTCACTTTCCTCCGCCCGCTTCCTCGTCAGTCACTGACGCTGCTGACCGCTCACGTGGTGCCAGGCCTGTGTGTGGGTGCACCATCTCGTCTGGTTCCCACCGCAACCCAATGGGGCAGAGAAGGGCCCTGGGGTCCGGGGAGAGACGCGAGGTGCTGTCACTCAGTCCGGGGCTTAGCAGGGTCTGAGCCCTGACTGTCCTGCCCCTTCACCCCCCGCCTCTCCCAGGAGCCAGGCAGAGGGGATCGCAGGCCAGCGGTGCGAGATCAGAAGGGTGAGGAAGAAGAGGGAGTCCAGGGGACACGCGGGCTGACGCCCCGACGCTCAGAGGCGTCCGTGGGACCCGCCGCTGCGGCCCTGCCCACACTGACCTGGGAAGAAGGGCCTAGCCAGCCAGTCACCAGGCATCGAGGACATGGCCTGTGCCTGGCACAGAGCGGGGCCAGCAGCTGGCAGCTGGTGGAGAGTGAGGGGGGTGGAAGAGCCCCCGTGAGAGGGGTCGGGGTCTGGCCGACCGTCTCACCAGGGCTGTGCCACCCGGCAGTCTGCCCCTGGGTGGGACAACTTCACTCTCTTTCTTCTAGGGCTTCAAGGGACACACGGGCGATTCTGGCGCGCCTGGTCCCCGGGTAAGTGGATGTCTCGCCACGGAGGTCATCCCGGCTGGACCTGAGCTGGCACTTCCAGACCCCGGGTTTCAGGGCCCTGTGGGCCAGTGCTGTGCCTTGTCACTGAGAAAGATGAAAGCATCATCCCTCCTTGGTCTAGTGTTTCTAGACACGACTCCTAGGGGCCAGACACTGACTTATAACCAATTTGACGAAGTCCGCCCGGAGTCACTGTTGGCCGTGCGACACATAGGTGTGCTCCTGAGGGCCGGAAGACGCGGGTGGCTTTCCCAGGGTCCCAGAGCTAACGTGGGAAAGCGTCCGTTAGCTTCTTCCATCTCTTCCAAATGCCCCAAGTGGAACGAAGCCCGGGAGTCCCCAGGGTAGACCCCCTGCCGTGCTCGGTGTGGCCATGAGAAAGCCGAGCTGGGGGAGCTCAGGAGGTCCGCAGGGAGGCGGCGCAATTCCAGGCAGGCGGCTGGCCCTTCAGCACTGTTTCCTGGAGCTCAGGTGCGCACGGCCCAAGACTGACAGTGGCCTTGGGGACACTGCAGACCCAGCCCGGGGCTCGGACCAGCGGGGTGCTCTCTGGGGGGCCGTCCTGGTCCTCCCCGTCCCCCAGGCTCAGACACACGGAGCGTGAGGCGGCCGCGTTCCGCTCTTGCTCCCTGACAGCAGGTGTTTTGCTTCTGCTTCCTTCCTCCAGGGAGAGCCTGGTGCCGTGGGGCCCCCTGGCCGGGACGGGTCACCAGGGAAAGACGTAAGTGAGGGGGTCCTGGGGAACTGGCTGGGCCTGTGGGAGGAGGGGTGCAGGAAAAGTGGGAAGGGCTGCACTGCGCTGGGGGCGGGCGGGGGGCGGCTGCGGAGGCCTGAGGAAGCCGTGGGCCTGGCCGAACCGATGGTGTGACTTTGGTGTCAGTGCTGTGCCGGGGGACCCAGCCTGGGTGGACTCGAGCGGCATTCCCAGGCTGTTTCTCCACCTCCGGTGTCCGCAGTCTCGTGAGCCCATCACAGCCACTGCCACGGGCTGTGTGGCACCTAAACTGCTTAGTCTGCTCTCCCTGAGTTTGGCCAGGAGACCAGGGCAGGACGAGCTGTTGTTTGCCCCAGTGGTACAGATTGAGAAACCGGGACCCAGAGAAGCCAGGGCACTTCCTCGTGGTCACACAGAGTCAGACGGGGCAGGGGGCCGCCCGGAGCCCGGATCTGCCAGCTCCACCTGCCGACGGGGGACCTGCCATCGTACCTGACCCCCGGCAAAGCGGTCTGGCGTGTGGACACGATCCTGGGGGGGGGTCAGGAGCGTGGGCACAGGGCCCCAAGGCCCTGAGGCCCAAGGGGGCCCACGTCTGCCCTTGGCATCCTTTGGAACCTGCCTTTAACCCCTGGGGAGTATCCCTGGGGCTCTTCATACGCTAAAGCACTTTGAATGTAAACATCCACCTTCTAGACTGCTTTACGGTCTGCTCCGTGTGGGAGCGTGGCCAAGTGTCTGACATCGTGTCACGAAGCGCTTGGGAGACCTCATGCGGGGCGGTGGTGCATCGCTGCTCCGTTGCCCCAGGAGGTGCTGTGCACATGGGTGACACTGTTCTTACTGTGGCTCCTGAGGCAAGGCTGTTCCAGGGGCCTGTCCTGTGGGGCAGGAGCAGACCTCCGGGGGGAATTCCCTCTGTGCTGCTTTCCCCGCCTCCAAGAAGCGGCCTGGAAGCCCTGTGGACCGGGAGGAGGAGGCTTAGGCGAGGGGACAGATAAAGGGACGCACAGTGAGGGTGTTCACGCATGTGCTGTCACGTGCGGGAGTTCGCGGATTTGGAATAGCTGGCTATTGACGACGCGATGCTCTGGACACAAGTTTGCTGGTCTCTTGGGTGACTCGGTGAACTCTGGTCCACGTTTGACTTGTGCCTGCATCATCTCCGTGCAGTGACTCTGATAACGTGACTCTGTCTGTTCCAGGGTGACGGTGGACCCACAGGGCCGCAGGGTCCCCAAGGACTGAGGGGCCTGCCGGTGAGTTTTGCTTGGGGATGAGTTTGCTTCATGTTTCGTCAGGACCTGTTCCCATGGTGACATGTGGTTGGTCATCCTGGTGTAGCCCTCTGTGTTGTTACAAATGGCAAAGGGGCTGGCAGCTGGGAGTGGCCACGGCCTTAAGTCCCCCAGTGCCCCACCCACCACCCAGCCCAAGCTGTTTTCCGGAGCCGCCTACCCACCACCCGGAAATTTCCAGCGGGCCACCCGGCATGGCAGGGACCAGGCCTTCTGGAGCATGCATTGCCAGTGGGGGTGCTGTTGCCCCAAGAGGGCATGCGTTGGTTGTTGGGGTGCCCCAAGGTCTTACTCTTCATATATCAAATGCAGCAAAAACACACGTATAGTGTAGCTGTGATGTCAAAGTTTCATATGGGGCAACTTGGAAAAACTGTCTGCGCAGGCAGGTGGGGAGGGCTCGTGATGACAGGAAGGCGGAGAGCACCCCTCAGGGGCCCCCCCGGCCGGCATTGGCTCCCTCACCCACGCTCCGGGGTTTGGCCACCCGGGCCTGGTCACTGGCCCTCCTCCTGCTCGTCTTGTGGACTGCGTGAGTTTCTTCACCTCTCCTGGGCCTCAGTACCCTCATCTGTAAAGTGGGGGAGTCGCGGGAACCCGGTCACTTAGTCCGGTGGACGGATGGAACAGTGAGGGCCCAGCACGTGCCCACGGCACTGGCCTTGGGCCCCACACCGGTCTCCGGTGCTGGAGGAAGCCGGGGCCTCGGTGCTGCTTCTCCTTAGGAGGGCCGAGGAGCTCGGTGAATTCCTGATGGGTGCGGGTGCCTTCAAGGGCACGAAGCAGGGCAGGGAGGGACGTTTCGGGAGCTGTGGCTGCTCCGGGACAAGGTGGGGGCCCAGGTAAGGCTGCGGAGGGCCTCACGTGCCATGCGCAGGAGGCAGGGGCGCGGCCCGAAGGCCCGAGGTCCCCAGAGGCAGTCCTGGGGCTTTCTAGCTTGCCCCCATCAGTTCCGAGGTGCATCGTAAGGAGTCTGTAACCAACAACAAACTTCCACCGTTCACCAAAGCGTGTTCCCCCGAGCACGGTGGAGCGGGCGTTAGGTTAATTCCCGGCAGCCTCGCTCCCACGCCGCTGGGACTGATGTGCTCCCTGTGGAACTCTGCAGCTCCACACGCCCGCGACCGGACGCCGGGTGTTCACGGATATCGGCAGTGTCCGGGGCTCGAGGCCGCACGAGCATTCGTGTGATTCACTCAGAGTTCTCCCCAAACCCCGTAAGGCAGGCGCCATCACTGTCCCCGTTCACATAAGACAGATGGAGGCACAGAGAGGTCAGGCGACTTGCCCAAGGTCACAGAGCGAGTGAGTGGCAGCGCCAGGATTTGGACTCAAGCAGCCTGGTTCAGGACTCTGCAGCTTAAGTCAGCCCTCCCCAGGCCTGGGTGACTGCGAGGTCCTTCTCAGGAAGCCCGCCGAGAAGGACAGGCTCAGAGCAGGAGGCGTGAGCTCAGAGCCGTTGGGGGCCTATGGACCCCTTACTGCCAGGCACAGAGACCGAGGGGCTCCATGTGGATAAGTGGGACGTGAGGAGTGGCCCGAGGCCCAGCAGGGAGTCAGGTCTCAGCCCCAGCAGCCGCCGGCACACGGGTGACAGTGGCCACCCAGAGCCACCACCCCTGTGCACATCCGCTTGCGTTGGCGCCGTGTGCTAATGTGCCTTGGCCCTCGTCCTCCCTGCAAGTGGAGAGGACCAGAGGGAGCAGGAGAGATATAATTATCGCAGGGATGAGCCGAAGCGCATATTTTTAGAGGCGCACAGATGGGTTGGTGGGTGGGCGGAGGGAGGTGCCACCACTCAGCACTCCCTGGAGGGGGTGAGCGGGGAGCTGTCACACATGCAGGCCGGCCGAGGTCCCATCCAGGTCCTGTGCTTTGTACCTCGGTTTCCTCATCTGTGACATCTGTGCTACATGATTGGGCAGCGTCTGGTGAGTCACCCACCCTCACGTGTGCACGTTTTAGGCACAAGGTGGAACCCTGTTTATGGTCACTAACCGACCAGCCACATCCTTCAGGAGGATCAGGTGGCGTGGGATGGGGTCCGCGCCACCTGGGGTCCACGCCGCCTGCGTTCACAGCTGCCCCAGGTCCCTCTCAGGCAGGGTCTTGGCATTTCCGTGCGCAGTGGTGTTCGCGTCTGTTGCAGCTGTGAGTCAGAGCCCGCGAGGCCTGCGTGAAGGGCCATCTGGGGCGCTAGCTGCTGTTTGCTGTAACGAGTGTCCAGGTAGCTTACGTATCTGCGTCCATGCTACCGGGGGGCTTACTGGTTCAGCGTGTTTATCAAAATCGCAGATGTGCACAGAACCCTTCAGGTTGGAGAATGTGAGTTAGTCCTGGAATCCGGAGTGGAGAGACCTTCGGCTTAGCGCGGCATGAACCTGCAGCAGCCGCTTGTCTTCTCTGTGCCTCCGCATCTGCACCTGTTGAATGGGGACACTCGAAGCCCATAGTGGGGGGCTGGGGGGCGGGGAAGCGAAGCCCATAGTTGGGGGGGCGGGGAACCTCGGCGGGGAGCAGCACGCCTGTGATGTGAGCACTTCCGTGCGGGGCGGTGCGTTCGCTCCTAGGACGGTCTGCGTCTGAGTTGGAGGGTGAGGATGGGTGGATGAAAGTGGCCGTGCTTATCCGCCGTGCGGAGCTGTGGGCATGATCACTGGGCCAGGCTCTTCCATGCGCACAGACTCACTTAATTTGCCACAGTATCATGAGTGAGGTACCACGGGCTCCTTTTACGAGCTCCTCTGAGTGAGGAGGCAGTTTACAGAGAGCCATGCTGGTCCGCGTCACAGCTGGAGGTGTGACATCAGGCCCTCCCCATCTGGCACCCTCTCTGTTGCACGGTCCTGCTCCGGGGCGTCCCGGCAGTGGGGCTTGGCAGAGTTATGCCCCTGTCTCTTCCTCCAGGGTAAGAACGGATCACCTGGATCTCCGGGCGACCCTGGGCCTCCAGGAAACCCGGTGAGTATCTCGCCCTGCTGTGCAGTGGACTCGGGACGTGGTTCACGTCACACGTTGTCTGGTCTCCATGCCTAGAGGCGTGGCGGGAAAACATGAGGTTCAGTGGCGGAAGTGAGCTGGCGGTGAGGACCCAGCGAGAGCCTCTCCCAGAGTTTAGAGCGCGTGCGCTGCAGCCTCCGAAGGGACAGAACACGCGAAGAGTCAAAAACCGTGTAATAGCTTTGTAGAGTGGTTGCTGATCGTCATCAATGTTGATGGTTTTAGAGGATGCAAGGACAGGCTCAGGCCGCCCAGTCTCATCGTCTCAGACGAGAGGGTGAGCGTGCCTCATGGGAATGGACGTGCGACATGTTTGGCCGGAGGGCGTCCTCCTGTGGGTTAGGGGGAGGGGGGTGGGAGACCACGAGGGGATGGTGGATAGGTCATAGGAAGCGGATCCAATGAACAGTCATAGAATCCTGGTCACCGGATAGAGGATTGGGATTTGAGGTTCAGTCTGGTAGGTAGGGAAACAGGCTGGGGAAGATGGGTCCTTGATGGAGTCTCGGGTCGGATGAGTCGGAGCCTGTCCACTCAGACCCTCCCAGCACAGCCTTGTACTTCCGTTGGCCGTCATTGGCAGTGCTGTTGAGAAGACCACGCTCGGGGCGTGGTGAGTCAATGGCCGGGCAGTGTGGCCAGCTCACCGGTGCCGCTCTGGAAATTGGGGTCACCGGCCAAACTTGGTTTGCCAGGGACCTTCCTCCTGGGAAATCCATCATTCCCAGGCAGGCTGGGCATGGGGTCGCCCTGGTGCAGACCCGTCTTCCTGTTGGCCCAGGGACAGCGGCACTAAAGGGGTCCAACTCCTTAGCCGACATCAGGGCTCCCTCGGAGCCGAGGACGGGGCTCATCGCTGCTGGTGACACGGGGGGTAGGATTGGGGGGTGATGCCGATCCACTCCCAGGGCGGAGCTGGTCCCCGAAGAGCTGACCCACGTGCGGTGGCTTCCCAGAAAGGCTGAGACCGAAACGTCCCAAAGGCTTTTCCTGCCGTGGATCCTGCCAGACCGTGACCGCTGCCCTCGCAGGGCCACACGTCGGGGTGCTGCTGCTGAACAGGCGCCCTGCTTCGTTTCTGTCACTTTGAATGCAAAGACCACTGACCCTTCGCAGAGACACTTGTCCCCGTGCTCACCTACCCTAGGACAGCACAGTCAGGGTCCACAGCACCCCACGCCGCTCCCTGAGGCCTCCCCTCGTTGCAGGGAGGGGTCCTGCCTTCTGCATTGTCGATGTCTCAGGCCTTCAGGGTACAGAGGGGTCACAGGGTTCCTCATCTGCTTGAGTTGGCACTTGACCTTGAAGAATGAATCTCGTTTTCCCTCTGCAGGGCCAGAAGGGAAACAGAGGAGAACATGGCAGCCCGGGACCCCCTGGCTTCCTGGGTCCCCGCGGAGCTCCGGTAAGCAGACGCCGATGGGGGCCGGCAGGCCTGGCGGTAGGTGTGAGGCTCGAGTTCAGTACCCGTCCTTCCGCCTCCCGTGCCCGTAGGTCCAGGTGCTCCGGTCACAATGACCCGAGCATGGCCAAGTCATTTGGTGACGGGGGACAGTGGAGCGCACTGGCTAAAATGCGCTCAGACGTCGCTCTGTGCGGGAGTCTTCGCTCCACCCCGAGCGCCCTGATCGCGAGGCCTTGCGAAGGTCTCGTGACCTCTGCCCCCTCCTGTTCACACTGGGCGCTCACAGCACCGGCCGTGGGTTAGATGGGTGATTTGTGTAAGGGGGTTGGGATGGCGAGCAGCCCATTGCGGGTGGTGGACCTGGCCCTCTAGGGCCCTCAGACTTCGTTTACCGGGCAGCAAGTGTGGGCTGTAGGGTCAGCACGTACAGGTGGTTCATTCAAGGCCACCCCGTGGGTTTGTGCTCCAGCGGGCGCTCGAGTCCAGGTCTGACTTGGCAGGTGGATGCAGAGAGGCTATGGGGCGATCGCTGCCAGCTGTGTGCTGCGGTCCACACCTGGGGCTGCCGACCAGCGAATGAGGGTCGTGGGTAATGTGCAGGCGTAGAAAGCTCACCCTGATCCTGTCCCTCCCCGCTGCGGTGAACCCTGACCCCCAGGGCAGCCTGCTGCCGCCCAGCCCAGCCTCTCTGCTGGTGATCCTGCTTTTGCCCTTCTCTGCCATGCAGCCCAAGGCCAGCGTGGGTCTGTCCACCGATCTGCGCTGGCGCCCGTTCATCAGGCGGCCTCCGCCATCCCTCCGCCGCGCGGGGCAGCCAGTGCCCACTCTTCCACACACGCCGCCCCGGCCATCCGTTTACTCACACAGTAGCGCATCACTTGTGGACAGGGTTCCACTCCGATTCCCACGTTACGGGTGAAGAAACCAAGGCGCAGGGAGCTTAAAGCCGTGACAAAGGGTTGTTCAGAGTCACAGAGCCAGTGAGCGGAGGAGCCCGGGTTCGAACCTGGCAGGCCGACGGCAGAGCCCAGCGCCCCACTGGTGGCCTCCTTCCCCGCTGCGAGCCTCCTTCCCCGAGAGGCTCCCTGTCACGGCACGGCAGCCTCTACAGCTGCCCCCAGATGCCGTCCTGGCAGAGTCAAGGAGCCCAGGACTGAAGGCCCCGTCCCCACCCTGGAACTTTCTCCCCGCGTCTGCCCTGCGCAGGCTGGCCGGACCCCGTCTGGGGCGTCCTTGTTTGCCTGGACCATCGGTCGTTGTCTTTGCTGAGACGTGACTTGAGTGAAAACGTCTGTCGTGAAGACGGTCGTGTTATCTGCCGTGTGCGGATGCCGCAGAGCCAGCTGAGACTCTGTTCTGTCTTGCAGGGAGAGCCAGGCGAGAAAGGAGCTCCAGGCCAGGAGGCAAGTATGGCGCGGCTCTGCTCCCCCTGACGGCCCTTTCCCGCGGGGCAGTGTCTGCGAGTCCTGTGGAGAGCGGCTTGTCCATTTCGAAGCTGCACACCTCCTCTCGAATGAAAAGGCCCCTTCCCACTCTGACCCTTTGGGTCACTTAACTGGAGGACGGCAGAGGTGGCTCCCGTGTGGGCAGCACTTGCCTCCTGCCCCCGCCATGTATGTGGCTCCCTCACGATCGCTCACTGGTCCTCAGTGAGTGGATGGGGGGAGTGGGGGGCACTGGCTCCCACTTCTCATGGCTGCTGTCCACACTGCTGTCCACACTGCTGTCTACACGGCCCCTGTCCGGCTCCCTGTCTCCTGTCGGCTGAAGTCCAGACTCTGAGCACACACCGGGCTCCTCCCCGATCTGACCCCACCCCGTGTCTAAGGGGGCTCCCGCCCCCGACAGGCCGTGTGCCCTGTGCCCTCTCCAGTCCTCATTTCCCAGGGGGATGGATCATGTCTGAGCTCGGAGCCGAAATCACCGTAGACAGGGGCCTGAGACAACAGACGTTTGTTTCTCACGGTCCTGGGGGTTGGGAAGTCCAAGGTCGAGGAGCTGGCAGCTCTGGTTCCCTCTCTCCGTTTCCCCCTGGTCTCCAGGTTCACTGTCCCCAGTCCCATCATGGGCCCCACCCTCACAACCTCACCTAAACCTAGTCACCTCGCAAAGACCCCGCCTCCCCACACCATCACTTACGAGTTCCAGTCCATGCGGAGGTGGGATGTGCTGCGGGCCGGGCGGGGATGGCCAGCAGGGCCCTTAGGCAGCAGGACCGCCTGCTCCCCGCTTCAGGAAGGCACACTGGTCACCGGGTTTGGCAGGAAGGGGCAGCCAGAGCGGCAGGGGCGAGGCGAGCCGTCAGAGGCCCGTGGGTGCCGGGTCCCCTGGGTGTGCTGCGGGCAGTGGGATTCACCCAGGAAAAGGAGGAGGAGGACTCTGAAGGGGGCCGAGCCTGGGAGGGGGGCCCAGGCCCGCAGCGTCTGCACGACACAGCGGGGTCTAGGTGGACTGATTGATTCCTCGAGGTCCTTTGCCCTCAGCCCTCAGGATCCTGTAGAGAAGCCGAGACAGGCAGAGGCACCATGCAGATGGGATGCCCTGGTCACGTGACTGTCCGGCCTTGGGTTTCATTGCAGGGCACCCCGGGGAAGCCTGGAGAACCAGGACCCAAAGGAGAGAGGGTAAGTGCGGGGCACAGTCACGCGGATGTGCCCTCACGGTGGCAAGGAGACTTTGTCCGAGACGTCAGGGACAGGAGAGCCGGGAACCTGGCTCGCGGTGGCTTCTCTGGCCAGTCACCTTTCCTCGGAAAATCGCGAACCCCAGGAACGGGGGAGGCTTCCCCTGACATTGTTGTCATCGGTGGTGTGTGTTTTTTTTATTTGGTTAGTATTTTAAGAAGTAAAATGGTCACAATTACAAATTCAAAAGCAAGCGAGCTGAGACTTGGACAGATTTCTCTCGTGTGTGGGTGCCTGTGTGCGCCAGTTTGCCAGGAGCCAGATTTGTCACTGGAGGTGACAAGGGAACAGATTTTTCCATAATGAATCGTTCTGGCGCTACGCTCGGAAAGCCTTTCTTCACATGTCATTCCTCCAAAAAGCAACAGGGCAAAGTCATTTTTTTTTCAGCAATGCCGGTGGAAGGGAGGGGCGCGTTCTCACACGCGGGACAGCTGTCCCTTCCTTCAGAGCTAAACGCCTTGCGTGCCCACAGTCCTCCATTTGGTCAGCCATCACACTGTCACACTGTTGTCCCACACGACGTCCCCGCCACCCCACACCCCACGCCCACCCCCGGCGTGTTTTCCTTGGTCCTGCAGAGAATGGATCTCAGCTTTCCTTGCACGTTGTCGGGCGAGGGAGGAGCCGGCCGGAGGGGATGGAACAGTGGAAGCAGAGAGCGAGGGGCTCTCACGCCCTCTGGTCTCTCTGTCCCGTGGCTGGTGGTTCCTGGGGATGCAGCCGGGGAAGGGGACCGTGGCTGAGAGGCGTTGCAGGTCCCCTGCCAGTGTCACACGGCTGCCCCGGGAGCTGTTGCTGCGGGGGTGGCTTGAGTTTTGGTTGGGAGCCAGGGACTTCAGACGACAAATGTGAATCTTCTCCAATACCTGATCAATAAGCGGAGAGACGCCCTGCCCTGTTAAGTGGTTTCATGGAACACGGCCAGGGAGTGGCCAGCCTCTCATCCCTGCGCTGGGGACCATTCTGAGAGATGGGGCAGGCGATATTATTGAGACGTTTAGTGAATAGGAAAAGCTTCACCTCTGAGGTGAGAGGGCCTGGGCACTCGGGTGCTCTCAGGGACCCTCAGGGACCCGTGCACTCTGGGTCACCGACAGATGACAATGTCCCTGTGGGATGCATCATGCCTGAGACATCAGTTACGGCTAAATTCACGTATAAATTCAGGTGATACAGACACACAGGTAAACGATGCATGCTGTGAAGAGACGAATGCAGTGAGAGGCAGGCCCTCCCACGGGGCTGCGTCCCCATCCCCTCCCGGGGTCCATCCCGCACCGTCCGTTCGTCTCCCCAGAGTCTGTGCCCAGGGGACCACGTGGGTGTGGTCCACAAAGGCTCCTTTTATTCAGCCCTGGGGCGGAGCAGACTTTGTCCACCCCTTTGTCCCTCTCGTGCCTCATCTGCCCGTGGACGGCAGTGGCGTCTCGTAGCCGCGTGGCCAGCCTTCCCCGTGGCTCTGGGGCCTGCCCATCACCAGGCCCCATTTTAGGTCCCACCCATTTGTCTTCTTCCCCGTTTCTCCTTCTCTCCGCGGCCTCCGGCCGTGGCGTCCTCTTGTGCCCTGAGGCTGTTCGTGGGGTCAGCCACACAGAGCACTCCGGGGAAGGACTGGAACGCCCTGGTTGCCATGGTTCCCGAATCACTGATCCAGGACCTCAGACTCTGGGTCCGCGACAGGGAGAGAAGGGTCCCGGGCAGTGCTGTCCCCTGTGGTCCCGCTGGAGCCAACGAAGGGAGCAGGAGAGTGCCCGTGAGAGGGACCCGTGTCCGAGGAGTGCCACGGCCCCTCCAGCTGACGGAGGCCGAGGGCAGGCTCGGCGGCGGCCTTCTCTAGGCGGGCAGGCGGAGCCGCACTGTTGCGGGGAGCACCGGTTTGGGATTTGGAAATCAGAGTCCTCATCTTGTCCCCTGCAGACCGCTGGGGGACCTGGGCAGGTGTCCTTGTCTGTGCTAGGACTGAGGTGTCCTCTACAGGGCTCCGGGAGGAGAGGACAGGGGCCCCGCAGCCGAGCGGTCCCTTCAGTGCTGGGCACACCGTCTAGTCCTTTGCTTGCTGACACGCTTCTTTTCTCCTCTAGGGAGATCCCGGGGTCAAAGGTGACAAAGGAGCTCCTGGTGGGAATGGCCAGCCTGGGGATCCTGGAATCCCAGGCCACAAAGGCCACACGGGCCTGATGGGCCCCCAAGGCCCACCTGGGGAGAGTGGGCCAGCCGGGCCCCCGGGGCCTCCGGGCCAGCCAGGATTTCCGGGACTGAGGGTAAGGACGCTGGCATTGCAGCAGTCGTGGGGCCCGAGGGACGCCAGGGAGGGCTGTGGTTGTCAGGGCGACCGGGCTGCAGAGCCTGGTGACCCACGTGACCTGGGGTGGGCTGCTCCCCGTCTCCACGCGGGCCCTTCGTATCTGCCAAAGGGGTGTGAGTCCTCTCCTGGCAGGCTCACCATGACGACCAGTGGGATGGCAGATGTGGCCTGGGACACACCCTGGAGGGGTGTCCCTTCCCAGTGAGCCCTCAAGACCTCCCTCCGTAGACGGCGGCACTGTCCCGCCGGGGACCCTGTGCCATAGGCCGTGGCGGAGATGCAGCCAGCCCGAGTGGCCTGGGCTCCCCCTCGGTGGCTCGCCATCTGTTCTGTGCCTGGCCATGCCTCCCGGGGTCTTCCAGGGGGCTCCATCTTCCTCTGGGTCTCACTTCCCCCAAACATGAAAGGAAAGGCTTGTTTAGAGCAGACTGTTTTTCCTTTGAAGCTATTTTATTCTAATGGCAGAACTCTTATTCTGCATGCACTTGTCACATGGGCACACGGCGGCAGCAGAGACAGAGGAGCAGAGCTGCCAGGCAGGAGCCGTGGGAGGCTGGTCATCCACAGCCCGCATGGTCCCCGGGCACCCTCGCAGGCTTAGCTGATCTCCAGTGCCCGTCTGCCGTGGCGCCCGGTGTGGGGGCCATGGCCACGAGCCGGGGGAGACCCGCGCCTCGAGGGCTAGACGCTGCCCCGAGGGAGTTGGTGGCATGAGGACACTCTTGTAGGTTCTTCTGAGCATCACACGTCACCCTGTGAGCCCAGAGGCAGCACCCAGCTTCCGTGCACCGGGCTCCAGGGCTGTGTGGGACCCCTGTGGGACCAAGGTGACCCAGGAGGGAAAACGGTCCCGGGGTCCAGAGTGGCCAGGTGGCCATTTGGAGGAAATCGACGTGCCTTGATGTGGGAAGTGGCCTGCGAGGTGGTCCTGGAGGTGGAGGGGACCTTGGCAGGGAGCCACGGAGGAGGCCCAACCTCCTGGGTCCAGTGCTGGCGAAGTGGTTTGTGCAGGGGGCGGTCAGCTAAGGAGCGGGCGGCAGGGCGGAGAGCCCAGAGACCAGGCCACGTGCAAAATGGGACGACACGTCCCGCACGACGGGGCGGGGAGGGGACGCTCACGAAAAAGGACCGGATGAGGGAGGTGTGACGTGCGCTGCGTGACCCCCTCGGTGTCCTGGCCCGTCTGGGTCTCGGTGGCAGGGGTTCCTGGGAAGGTCTGTAACCCCAGTTTCCGTCCCCCAGGGGGAGCCTCCCTCCCTGGACACCCTGCGGCGGCTCATCCAGGAAGAACTGGAGAAACAGCTGGAGAGTGAGTAGCAGGCCTTCGCCGCCGCCGGGCGCATGAGGGCCGGATGCTCTCCCGACCCCGGGAGGCGGCCCTGCTTCATCCTAGTGCTTTCGCATCCGTTTGAGAGGGGCCCCCTCAGAGCGGTCACCTGGACCCCAGGATTGGGGCGCGCCTGGCGGGGCTAGCCAGCCTCGCAGACACCTCTTCAGAGCTCCCCCTAGTGAGCGTGCGTCACCTCTGCTTGATGACCTCTCGTGGGGAGCTCACCACCTACAGAACCAGCAACGCCACGATCAGCCATTGTCCTGTGCGTGCAGCCATCTGTCTAATCAACAAGTAATGGGCTGCAGGGAACCCCCAGCCCCGGGCAGGGCGCGACTTAGGAAGCAGGCGGGTGACGGCAGAGCGATGAGGCAGGGTCTGCAATCTAGTTTGGCACAGACGGCGCCGAAAGAGGACAGGGAAATTCTGAGGGTGGCTCAGAGGGCGGGGGCGGAGGAGGGAAGGCTTCCTGGAGGAGGGGCCACGTGAGCTGACAGGATGAGACCCCAGACCCCAGAACAGCATGCGCAGAGCCCCCGAGGCGTGCGGGGACGGAGTGCTTTCCCTTCCGTCCTGGTGTGTCGCGTTGGTCGTCAGATCCCACGCGTGAGCCCAGGCCGTCACCGCGATGGTCAGGGAGTGGGGGGAGGGTGGCAGGTGACTAACGATGGCAGCGTCAGGGCTCGCCCTGCGTCAGGTGGAGGTGACCCCTGGAAGCCTGCCGCGGTCTCACGGAGCTCCTGCAACGGTCAGGAGCAGAGGTCCAGGGACCCGCCTGAGGCCGGAGAGCTGCGGAGTGTCCGAGCAGGGTCTGCGTGCAGGTGTGCCCGCTGCAGAATCCGCGCTCTCAGCCCCACGTTCCCGCTCGCCCCGGTGGTGGAAACTCAGGGGAAGAAAGTCGCAGACGGGCGTGCGGCAGGGAGGCCGAGGAGGCCATGCACGGGGCGAGGCACGTTCATTCACGCCGTCGCGTCTCAGACCGTGAGACGCCAGGCTCCGGGTTGGGTGTGGGGACACGGCGTTGAGCAAGGGGACCCTTGTCCCTGCCCTTTTTGTGTCCAGGTGACCTGGCTCCTTCCACAGGAGAGCTGAAGTTATCTCCTGGAGTGGAGGGCGGGGGGCCGGGGCAGGGGAGGGAGGCGATGGAGGAGAGGGAACCGCAGGCTGGGGCGGTGGCTGCTGCTGGCCGGGGCCCGTCTGAGCCCCTGGGCCAGGAGCTCTATGGTCCTCCTCCTGGGTGTTGGATTTATAGTGACACAAGGGGCCTTTGCCATCGGGGTGTTTCCAGCCCAAGAGCAGAGACGAGACTTGCCTGAAGTCGTTCAGGTGGGGCACGGGCTGGCCGGAGCCCTTTCTTCCAAATGACCGTCTGAGGACGAGGCATCAGCTCCCCTCCCCTTCCCAGAGGGGACCAGCAAGGCCCAGAGCAGCTGAGTGATTCGCCCTGGCCTTGGGGCTGGGCCGCCTCTCCCGCCGCCCCACATGGGGACGGCGCTGCATGGCAGGGGGTCAAACACACTCGGAAGACCCTGGTCTGCGCCATGTTTCCGCCACAGGGCCGGGCCCTTGGGCGGCCCCCTAGCTTCTCTGGGCTGTCATGCAGTCTGCAGAATGAGGGCCTTGGCCTTGCTCTCTGTGGCTGTGTGGCAAACAAAGGTGGCCCGTGGTGGCCATCAGATGGACACTGTACTCCAAGTGCGATAGACACGGCGGCCAGCAATTGGACATCTGGGCATTAAATCAGTTCTGTAATATCAACATTTAGATGTCCAGGGATCACCAGTGCCCATCACATCCAGCTCACCCTTTAGAGATGAGAACTTTGACGCTCAGATCTGTCAAACGTAGCTTTGTGGCAGGCAGCACCTACTGCGCGCTCACCACGTGCCACGCAAAACCGGAGTGCCCCATGGCGCTCAGACCACCTGCCACCAACCCAACGGGGTGCATATTGTTTCGAGGTCTCCACCTTACAGGAAGGGAAAGGAGGGCCAGGAGAGGCACGGGGCTTGTCCAAGGCCACACCGATGGCGGTGGCTGCGCGCGGTCCCAGCCCAGGTGGCCCGGCTCCAGCGGCGGCGGCGGTGGCGGCCCGCCCGGTCAGAGGCGCACGCTCAGGGCTGCGGTGTGAATGCCGTGCCGTGGGTTTTATTGTCATTGTGTTGCAGTTACTGTCTCCTCGGCTCTGAGATTTGCAACGAGTCACCGTCCTGTCCTTTGTCCCTTATCCCTCCTTCATGATCATTCTTTGTCCTGCTCCATAGCCAAACTCGCCTACCTCCTGGCCCAGATGCCCCCGGCGCACATGAAGGCATCTCAAGGCAGACCCGGGCCCCCAGGGCCCCCCGGAAAAGATGGGCTTCCGGGCCGGGCAGGCCCTGTTGGGGAGCCAGGACGGCCTGGGCACGGGGGTCTGGAAGGGCCCTCCGGACCAGCAGGCCCCAAAGGTGAGTGAAGACCCAGAGGTGGGCTTCGCGCCTCCAGGAGGGCTGCGGAGGGCTTGGTGCGGCGCGCCCAGCACAATTCACGCGTAGTTTCTGCCGTTCCCATCCCCTGCAGCTTGGCAGCACCCTGAATTTTGGCATCATGTAATTTCTTCGTATGTATGAGAGGTTTTCGTAGTCGACATTTTTGGAAGACTATACTTCCGCCAGGGGGCTTGGATCCGTTCCCTTTGCGTTCTCGCTCGCTCTCCATCTC